AAAGATATTGGACGTCATTTTGGATCTGAAAGTGTAAAACCAAAGGCAAAGAAAAACGAAAGAGGTGGACAAATTGTTTATGCTATTCTGAAAATAAAATAAAGCTATTCTGTTTCTCTTGTACGCTTTTGACTTCAGGATCAAAGTTTCCCGAAAATCGGTTTAATGACTGAAAAATACAAACACTGCATTACGTCGACACGGAGAAAGTTCTTTGTGTAGACAAGTTTTATTTCATTGTTGATGCGCAAAAACAAAGATGTGAATATCGACTTCCAACTTATGTAAGAAATGGAACTGAAAAAATGTAGCTACACACTTCGAGTGAATAATTGAATTTTTGAAGTTTTTAGCTGAACGAAGTTTTCCATTTCAGGATAGTGATGAAACGGTTGCCTCTACTCATAATAAAAATTACTTGTGGAGTTACTAAGTTTGACCCCTTTTCGGACAGAACATGTAAGTACTCATAAAAACAAAGGGAGGGGGCATAGGTCACACTTGTCGAAGGCTATATGTGAAGAAATCATTAATCATATTGAATTCAGCATACCGGACTGAAAATATACATATAATTGTTATTTCATTGGATTCTATTCTGGATATGTCTAATGTGAACTAGATGACTTTGACTCTGCGCTGTTATCTGGAATATGTGGACGAAAGCTTTGATGTAGAATTTGTACAATTTGCTGAACTGCTCAAAACTGCTTTTGTTTTTCATATAAACCAAAAGTAAACAGTGAAGAGTTTTACCTTTTAAAAACAAACAATTTTTTCGAGTCTTGTTTTGCAAATGTAGTAATTACCTTGCGCATCTATTTGTTACTTATGGTTACTAGATTTAGTAGAGAATACTCATTTTCAAAACTGAAAAAGATAAAAAATGAACTAAAGAGTGTCATGGAACAAAAATGGTTGGATAATCTGACTGTAATGAGTACTGAATGTGAATTTCTGAATGAATTAGACATATTCAAGTATGCAAAATCTAGAAAATATCGATTTTGAATTAGAATTTCTTAGATTTCTTGACCCTCTTTTGGGTAAAATAAAAACCATTGGGAGTCGTAAACACATTTGATATTATTTTTATAAGTAATTAAATGAACTAAATATTTAAAAATTACCATTAATTTTTTCGTGCCACTGTTGAGTCGGTTTTAATGTATGGTGCCACAGTTGGACATTAACTAAAACCCTAAAGTTTAAGCTTCATGCAACCTAGACTTGGATGCTGAGAGCTATATTTAACATCTCTAGGAGACAACATTCAACTAAATTACAGCTCTGGATACATCCCTGATATTTCTACAATTTTACGTGAACGCAGAATGAGCTTTGCAGAACACTGCTGGCGAACAAAACAAGAACTTTCGAGAGATCTACTACCCTGGACACCTAACCATGGTGCAATACAGCTTGGTCGCCCAGCAGCTACCTACATTGGCCAACTATGTTATGACACAGAATACCACTCTAATGACTTTCCGACCTTGATGTAGGACCATGATGGTTGGTGTGATAAACACATGAATGTCCAAACATATTCTTTACTAGCAGTAGAGCCCGGCGTTGCCCGGGGATGTAACATTAAAAGATAGATCAAATATCGACCATCATAAAGACTGAAAAATAAAATTGACAAAGATTATTGTATAAGGTTGACGGACACGCATGTCTTAATTAGTTTTTTTGTTTTGTTTTTACGAATTGGTCAAATCCAAACTCAAACAAAAACATTGTTTTCAATCGTTATGAGTTTATCGATTAATAGAATTTTATTATAAACAATTGTCTTGTAAATGGAATTTTTAAAGCATTCTGAATGTAAAAATAAAGAAAAAAGTGTGCAAGACAATAAGAAACACTACCCGCCAAAAAAAAGTGAAGTTTTGTTGCAATCGGTTGAAAAATGTAGGAAATCATGATCCAATATATAAACGTACACACACACACACACACACACAAAATCTGCGTTTTATAATAAGTAAGATTCTGCTGATATATTGTAAAATATATCAACGCTATTCACTAATTATTAGGTTGAGTCAAATAATTTCCGTTTTTGTTTATCAAATTTATTTATTTATTTTTTAATCGCGTTCACTCCAAGCAAGGCAGTAAAACTACTAATACACAATGGGTTACTGGGTGTAGAATCGTTAGAAAACAGAAACTTTAAGAAAGGAGCAGGAACAAAAGAAGAGTGATCAGGAGGACAGTAGATAGCGATTGACACTGCATTAAAATTTTTTAAAGATTAAAGTTGACTGGAAAGCATGGAACTGAAAGGGAGTTCCACAAGCGAGAAATGCCAGAAAAGAAACTGTTAGCATAGAACTTACGGTTCTATCTAGCCAGCTCAACTGTATATTCATAAAACCTCGTCGCCATTCTCATACTGCGCTTAAATTAATAAAGTCTAGGTATCATAGCGAAGAGCTCACCTGAACAATTACCATAAAAGTAATTATAGAAAAGGTACAGGGTGGCAACTTTATGGCGGTAGGAAAGAGACTGAAGCCGAGACGCCAGATCAGAACTAATAATATTGCTGATTCTTCTTTGGATTTTATCAAGGATCTCTAGATATATAGCAGGAGTACCAGACCATATGTAACAGCAATATTCTAAGCATGGACAAAATAGTAGACTTATAGATATATAAGATAAATTCTGGTGAGAAAAATTGTTTAGCACGACACAGTGAACCAAATTTCGTAAGAGCTGACCTAGCAGTAGATGCAATATAGTTTTTCCACTTCATTTCAGCCGATAACGTTAGCCCGAGAAGGCACAACGAGTCACTCTCCTGGAGATTAGTATCAGCAATGCAGAGGATGGCAGAAAACCTCTTTCTCTCAGATGATTAATAGAGAAGAGTTTAGTTTTAGAAGTGTTAAAATTATATTATTATTATAATTGAATAAGATTTTATTTAGCTATATATTCACCATTATTTGCAATAACTTGTTGCCAGTTCTCAGGCAGCTCTCCGATACATTTTGAGTAAAAGACCACAGGTTTTGGTGTGAAAAGCTTTTCCACGAACTCTTGAATCTGGCTTTCATTATAGAAAGTTTTTCCCATCAATGCATTTTACAGCGACTGAAAAAAGTAATAATCAGTAACCACAAGTTTAAATGAATATGGCGAGTTGAGCGAAGCAGCCAACCAAGTTTCAAATTATTTTTTGTGTTATTCTTGCTGTACGCGGCCTTGTGTTTTCATGGAGAAGAGCAAGATGTTTTCCTTTAGACGACCGCAGACCGCTTTTCGACCGAACTTTTATAAACACGTTGCAGCTGCTGGACGTATAAATGTGCATTTAGTGTTTCATTGCGTTTTTAAGAACTCTACAGGAATAATTCCTCGTCGGTCCCACCACATTCTCAGCATTATCTTTTTTCTATGGAATTCAGCTTTTAGGATCGGTTGTGGAGATTTATCCTTGGCAATCCACTGCTTTTGCATTTAACATTGTTGCATGTAACCCATTTTCATTATCTGTCCGGATATATTGATGGAACGGTTAGTTAGGATGATAAATTCATAATTATAAATGGTTCTAAAAAAAACGGAAATTACTTATATCACAAGATAATAAAAAACAAAGTTGTTTTTTTATTGTTATATTTAATTCTTTTTTAAATTAATATTTAATTTTTTTTTCATAGCAAATACCTTAAAACTTTTAAATAATAAAACATAGCAAGTTTTAGACAAATGACATCATTACTTAACCTCAGTCATTATTTAATTTTGTCATTAGCTAGGATTTGATTTAGATTGTGTCGAAATAAAGAAAAAACGTATTCTCTCTTTTTCAGAGTTTAGTCAATTACTTAAGGGCCTGGTCTTTATTTCTTTCAATGTTTAGTTGTAGCTAAAAACTAATTAGTAGTTCTAGTTTTTTATATATTAAATTTCATCCGATGCAAGGATCGAGAGTCACTGAAAGGAGAAAGTTACAGAGAAAATCATAATGCTGAAAAAAACGTGTGTGGTATGAATGGAAAACGAATGTGGTACGAAATGACGATTATGAGGGAAAATTAATACTGACTGTCTAGAAGAGATCAAGGTTAAATTGTTCAGGGAAGTACCCACGTGGGAGCTTGTTTCATAAAGTGGTGTTTCTTAGGAAAAAACAGTTTATGGGGAAAATTATTTTTACGGTACCGTAGCTTGGTTGATAACAGTAATTATACTGAAAAACATTTGTCTTATCAAGAGGGGTCGAAAGGTTTGAAAATTCCACTTTTAAATTGTATTTGTTCTTACTTTCAAATTAGAAATTGATATCTCCATTTAAATAATACCAATACTGAGGTGGAAAATGTATTTGAAACACTACCGGGTTGTATATCAAACGAAAAAATAATGACTTTATTCCGCAAACAAACATTTGAGCGTTTAAAAATTTTTGTGGTGTTTTTAAAATTTAGGGCTTTATAAAATATGCTACGGGCCCCGAATTAACTTAATTCGATCGTGATGCTGATCTAAAAAATGTTAGCGGATCTTGTATATTTATATTCATTTACTTTGAAATCAAGACAAAGCTTACGAAACCAGTGTTTGCCATAAAATCCTCCGATATGTACACATTTTACAATATTCTATCACAGGTCAGTGTCACAACTACATTTCTGCAAAATATTATAGCCAAGATTTTGGAGAAGAGAAATGAATTTTGAACAAGATAAAACTTGACATGTTTTAGAGACATATTTCAGCTCGTAAAAACAAGTTATCGATTTTATGGTCGTTTTTCCTGTTCTTTGCCTGGATAATTTGACATTCTCAAGAATCATGGCAGGGTATTACAAAAAGTCATCAAAGTTCTCTGTTCTTTTTTAAATCTCTCCTACCTTTATATATATATATATATATATATATATATATATATATATATATATACGTTCTGGATGAGAATCGGTGAATCTGTTTTCAATATCTACCAGTCTCCTCATATTTATTAACTCATTCCTTAGCGAGCAATCTACGATGTAAACTGGCAAACATTCACTTTACAGCAGACACCGTGTTCGTGTTTATGTACCTATAATAATGTTCACGTCTCTTTCATTATCACTCGCAGATTTCCCTTTATTTTCTTTCTTTCTTTCTTTCTTTCTTTCTTTCTTTCTGTTGTTGTAGGTGATCAAATCGGGCATTGACAAGGAGTCCACATTTTACATGACGCCCTGTAAAACTGTCACAGACAAAATCAATATATATTTCCTCTCTAAACTTTACTTCTGTCCGTTAGATCAAATTGATATAGTATTGAACTTTAATTGTACACATATACACGCATATATATCTTTAAATTTTAATATAAAAACGCTGATATATATATATATATATATATATATATATATATATATATATACAAACTGAGTAGAATAAATAGATAGGTAGGTAGATGGTATTGAAAAAAAGGCGAATGGAACGAAAGTCGTAAGAAAAGTCTTTAATTGGGCAATTAACTGGCGGAAAGAAAACCGGAAACATTTCAATGATTAGATGTCTCAATACGCATGCGTCAGCATAAAGCCACATCTTTCATCTTCATTTAAAAATGATAGAATAATTTAAGCAGTTTATTTAGAGAGGATAATGTAAGAGAACTTCTATTTATTTATGATGTCTTACAAGTGTTGGAATTTATCTTCGTCCACTGGAATCACTGACTGATAATGTTAAGTTGAGTCGAATACCACAAGTTTTTTTTCTTTATTTCTTTCTTTACTCTTTCATATTCATCTCTCTGCTACGTTTGTTTTCACTTCTGTTCCCACTTTAGTAAATTTCTTTACATTCTGCTATGTCAACCGTTTCTCGTCTGTATTTTTAAACATTACCCATTCTTTTTTTTCCCGCTTATCTCTTTCTCGGCATTTACAAAACTTACCCGAGAATGGTACAGAGTCAATTTGAGATATGAGGTAGAATTTGTGTTACGCCAGTCTCCCAGTAAGCAAAGTGAACAAAACCTATCTGCTTCGAAAATCAGCATCCAAAATTCTTACCTGTTATTTGTGTAGTATTATGCTGGATTAGGCTTTGCAATCAATTTCACACCAGTCTAAGGAAGTCAGGTTTAGGGGTGTCTTGTGGTTTCTCCCGGTTTCCGAATGCGGTGTCACGTAACCGCATACCTGCACACAGTTTTGTAACCATTGAAACGGCAAGCATGAGATTAATATAATCAACCGTTTCAGTGAGGTGTTGGACAGTCTCTCAGATATCCCAGACGAGAATGTAATGTCAACGTTTCGAGCTAGTAGCGCCGATGCTGCTCACACTGTATGACAGTAACGGACGAAGTAAAATGTAATGTTAAATATGAAAGTCTCGTATTCTCATTAAAATTATACCTCGTGTTATTCGTTAGTCCGCCCGTATTATCATATTTGATTTTGAAGGACGTTCAAGCCTGCATGTAATGAAGTCATGGTGCCAGATTAAATATGATAAGACCGGCGGACTAACGAATAAAACGAGGTATAAGTTTAATGAGAATCTTATAGATTTCCGTCTGATGATAGAGTTTAGCTTCTATCGTCAAAATGAAATCTATAACACTTTCTGTCACGAGTCCGGACACACATTTACAAAGCTTAGCCTAGTCTAGAGGCTACAGTGCGAATTCAATTTACTATAGTATTTACGGTTTGCCAGCTTCTTGACCATTAATCCACGGTGAAGTGTTCTCTTTTTCTCACTCTTTGTATGCAGGTCTCTCCTTCTTCTCTCATCTTTTCTGTCTCTTTCTATTGCTTATCACTTTTTCTTTCACTCTTCTTTCCTTCCACACTACCCTCTTGGAATTAGATATAGCTCTTTCTGTTTGTTTACTTCTCTCATATTACTGTTTCTTCTTGCCTTTTAAAAATTATTTCTCTCAAATATCCAATACTTTGTCGTTCAGTGTTTATCCCCTCCTTAAATTTCTTTTTCTATTCATCACGATTTTTCACTTTCTCTCATCTCTAAAATTTCTTGGCAACAGCCTTTCCCGCTGAACCGGACGCGTCAATCAATTGCTCTCTTTCTTTGTATTATATATTTTGCTTCCAGCTCGACAATTTCTTTAGTTCAATTAACATACACCCTTCTTTCTTTCTTTCTTTCTTTCTTTCTTTCTTTCTTTCTTTCTTTCTTTCTTTCTTTCTTTCTTCCTTCCTTCCTTCCTTCCTTCCTTTCTTTCTTTCTTTCTTTCTTTCTTTCTTTCTTTCTAATCCATACAATTCTCTCGCTTATGTCATTTTCATCTTTCTCTCTTTGAATATTCACTTCCTTTACTTTTATTCTTTTTTTCCCTAGACATTTTTTCTCTTTGTCTCTCCCTATCTATTCCTACGGCACCACATTATATATTTCCTCATTTTCTCCTTCTTACTCTCTACATTTACACGCCTTTCAATAAGAAAAGAGAAAAAAAAAACATATTTTCCAATCAAATATCCCATCATCCTCAATATCTCCACCAGCTGAATCGACCTAAAACTGTCTAGAGCACGCATTTAAAAATCTATCAAGATTAACGTGTTGTTACTGAATTTAAAAATCATTTTAAATATTTAAATTTGAGCCATTAAAAATTTTGCCAGTGGATACGTGTAAAATATAATTGTGACATAATCTGATGATGTAATGTAGAAGTTCATCAACATCGTCGTTTTACTTATAGCTTGAGAGATTAAAAAAGATAATATATAAATAAGCAACATGAACAAAAAAAACTTTAATAATAAGCTCAGATGCTCTCAAGTAACATTGCTGACCTCAGTGCAAATGGTTGCTGTTTGAAAGCTCGTGTCAAGTACTCTTTAATCAACAAGGACGTTGGCACTGCATGACCTTCTTATTCCTCTTCGAGCCATGACACTTCAAGGTAATATATATCAGTATTTAAGGAATATAACGGTTAATGTCTTACCCGTAATAAGTAGAACACTGGGAATACCCCCAAGGCCCTTGTAAAATACTGGGTATTTATTGAAGAACTGTGGTAAATCTGACCAAAGTAAAGTTAGCGGTAATACTGAGAAATGTGACGGAGATTTGAGTGGACTTAATGCTACTTGATCTCCAGCGATATCTGCTAGAAGCATCAGACATGACATTACTTAGTAACTAAATGAAGCAAATTAGCTCCATATATGTACAAGAAACAGTCATGATAAGATGGAAAGGCGCTCCATTGGGAACACTGTAAAATAACTGGTATATGCACAACAAAACTTGTTACGAAATGAAAAACATAAAATACTTTGGGACTTTGAAATTCAAAAGAATTACCCATATATGTCAGAAGACCAGATTTAATCGTCATAAGCAAGGTGAAAAAGAATTGTCAGATAATAAGTTCCGCAGTTCCAACAGGTCATCGATTAAAGTTGAAAAATATGAAAAACGAAAAAATATTTAAACGTTTTCAAGATAATGAGTACTAATAAGAATACTGAAAAGTTGAATCAGCACAAAAACAACACGAGACGTGGAAAGCCTAACAACTAATTTATTCAAACTATCGCTCGATCCATTTTGCTCCCAGCATTTCCTAGTGGTACCGAAAGTGCTTACATCATAATCATAATCAACATTATTGATGTTCTTATAAACTAAAACAATGAGACTTTGAAGAAAATTAAAATTTATCCAAGAAGATAAATCATAACACTAGGAAATGCCACAACTTCTAAACTAGTGTTATCAATGTACTTCAAGGAGAAATTTAAACTTAGGTAAGATTTGGTAGGAGTTATTTACAAACCTTTGCTAATATGCAATGAGGGTCTCATAATAAAATAGACCTTCCTGCAGCTCGATGTTAGGCTATTCTTGATTTGACCTAACTGTACTGACAGTCGTGCACGTGATCTTCCCGGATTTTATTGACTTTTTCGATGTGATCTGAGTATACCACGTGATTGTGTGTAAACATTACAAATCGGGGATATTAAAATCAAACAAGTACAAAAATTTAAATATTTCGGAAAATACGACACTGAGATTTCAAGACACATTGAGATGCATTCCAAAAGCTAATTAGAATATTAAGATACATAAAAAATTCGTTAGAAACAAAGAAAAGAGTACTGAACTGTTACGTGATATCTGTCTTCCTATATGTCAGCGAATGCTGGACAATCTCCTCAAAGATGAAAAAGAGACTTGAAACAACAGAAATGGGATTCTACAGTAAGATACTGATGATACCATTTTTTCTTAGAGAAAATGGGAACGAAAAGGAAAATTATTATTATTATTATTATTAAAAAGACATTTTCTTCTTTTGTGTGACTTTGATGTCTGCTTCATTGGTGAATAAACGAATCAGTTATGCTACGCACTCATAAATGCTTGATTTTTTTCTCTTAAAAGATGGATTTAACAGGTAAATAGAAAAGTTCATTTGATCTCAATATCAACGAGCCATCATAAAAGAATGTGCTAAAAATTGTACTTTTTCAAAGAACGACAGCATTATGAAGAACATTTGACATGGATAAATAGCGAAGTGTTTTAATGATTAAACGGCAAACAATATACGTTCAAACACTTCTCTCATTTTTTTTCGTACTTGTTTAAAACTAAGCTGAATTTTGTTAAGGCTTCTAGTGCGAAATCAGGCAAAATCTTGAGAGTATGTTGATTTGGTATTGCTCGTAAAAAATTATGAGTCACCCCTTTTCTGACAATATGACAGAGCTCAGGGTATTATTATCAGGGTTGACCATGATTTAACATTTTGTTTATAGCTATTGCAGCCTGAGTCGTCGTTGTGTTTTGTCATTATGCTCACCCAATTCTTAGTTATTGAAGCGTTTCAGGAACAAAACATTTTGTTCAGATAAAGGGTGTTGCATAATAATAATAAAAAAAACTATTTTTTTTACTGAATGTTTAACTCCGAAAAGAACATGTATAATACTTGTTGGAACGTGACATTGTTGACAGTTATGCAGATGATCTTTTGGTAAAAACGTTTTTTGGCATGTGCTTAGGAAATTCGATTGATTTCCAAATCTTGAAGCTATTATGAAAGATAGTTGAAAAGTGTCTTCTCGAATTTGCCCAAAAGACGACAACACTCTCAGTAACAGAAAACGCGAGTGAATGGATAAGTTTGGGAGGAATTAAAAGGGTGAATTAACAAATATTCAGAAACCGCCTTCACTCGAATAAAACTAGGTTTGTGTTATAACCGTAAGTTCTATGCTGATAGTTTCTTCGCCCACACTTCTAGCCTGTTGAACTTTCTTTCGACTTTCTGCTTTCTTGTCAAATTCTTTATGTGCCGTGTCCCTTCAGGATGTAGGAGATCACGGCCCTCCATATCTTCCTGTTCCTTGTAGCTCTTAATAAATTTTGTCTTTTTGCTAATTCTCCCAAACTGCGATCCATTTACTCAAACCCATCAAGTATGTTACGCGCTGTTTTCCACTGTTCCTCTTTCCCTTTCAATCTGTCCTGTGAATATCGTATTTTCCAAGCCTTCCGTGTCCCAGAAATTTCAACTACCTCTTCCTGATGTTAAGTATAATTTTCCTTTTCGTTTCCATTTTCTCTAAGACATCATGTTCGGAACGTGGTATCCTCAGTATCTTTCTGTAGAATCCCATTTCGGTTGCTGTAAAGTCTCTTTTTCATCTTTGAGGAGATTGTCCAGCATTCGCTGACATATAGGAAGACAGATATCACGTGACAGTTCAGTACTTTTTTCTTTGTTTCTAACAAAGTTTTTCTGTATCTTAATATTCTAATTAGATTTTGGAATGCATCTCAATGTGTCTTGAAATCTCAGTGTCGTATTTTCTGTCCTCTATTAGAACATGGGAAGGAAATATTTAAATTTTTGTACTTGTTTGATTTTAGTATCCCCGTTTTATAATTTGCATTTTGGGTTCATCCTTTTGCTGACAACTATGCATTCTATATTCTTGTAGTTTATATTTAGCCCTTTCCTCTCGCTTTTGTTCGCTACTTTCTGTAGGAGATCTTGTTTCCTTTCCGTGTCTGTCATCAAAACTGTGTCATCTACATATATTATGTTGTTAAGATTGTGGCTACCAACAAAAATCCCTACAGGATATCTAATTCTCTCAGAATTCCCTCGCTGTATAGGTTGAATAAGTCCGGTGAGAAGACACATCCTTGTCTCACACCCCTTTCTATTTTTGTGTGTCTGCTGAACTCATTTTCTATCCGTATGCAGGTAATTTGCTGCTAGTAACTGTTATTGATTATTCTAATATCCTTCCCAAATATATCAAGGCTGCTGAGCACTTCCAACAGATCTTTGTGGTGGACTTTATCGAAAGCTTTTGCGTAATCTATAAAGCACTGGTACACGTCAATCTGCATTTGTATTTCTTTCTTTCTGATAACATTCTGAGCATAAATATTGCCTTCCTTGTTCCGGTGTCTTTGACGAACCCGAACTGTTATTGTCCAATCTATGTTCTAACTCTGCTGTCCGCTCTCTTGATCAGGATTTGAGTGATTAGTTTTTTTTTTATATGGCTCATTAGGCTGATTGTCCGATGCAGTTCACATTCGTTTGCACCTGGTATGAAAATCGATCTGCTTAGGTCTTCCCGTATATCACCACTGTTGTAGATTTCATTTATTATTTCTGTGATCTTTTCTGTACCAAAATCATCTAAGGTTGCCCGCATCTGTATTACAACTCCGCCTAGCCATGTCGCTTTGTTTCTGTTCAATTTGACCAGTTCAGCTTCCTCTTCGGTTTTTAATATTTTTGGTCCGTATTTCTGTGTATTGCTGGTTATTCTCTTTCGGCGTGGAAGAACTCTTCTATATATTCGTTTCATACGATCTTCAAAAAATTAAATACAATGTCAATTATCACCTTATGTCTCCTTGAATCCTGTTCTTTTATTGCCCACTCTGTTTCTTTAATTCTCAGTAACCCCTTGCGTCTTAGTGGCTTGTATCATCTTGTTTCGGATGAAATCATTAAAAAAGAAAAAATCGATAAGGCTTCTGGTGCGAAATCAGTTAAAAGTGCGATAAATTTTTGTTTTTACAGAAAGAATCAGTTTTATTCTGACTAAATATCGGGAACCTTTCTGGTATGAAATAAATAAAATAATAGTGATCGTAGGTTGATTTGCAAGAAAAATATTCGGTTTCATTTTGTGGCGCCATTTAGTATTTCCCCGTCTTGTAAATGTTAGTCTTTGTCCGGTTATCGCCAGGCAGACTACAGTTATGTTATTTCTCCATTATTGTGTTTGGCGAAGTAGTTTTTTTTTTCATATTTTTAATCAACTTTACTATGAAACACATCATATTTGTGCAGTAATTTCAACACAATGGATTTTTTATTGATAATAAAATCTACAACTTAAGCCCATTTGTTCTGATGTGAATGACCAGAATTTGAGTTAATCCACTCTAGAGAAGAGATAATAAAGTAGGAATCGTCAATAAAATGGATAGTCTTTAGCTATTTCTGGTGACAT